CCCTGGCCTTCAAGGGTCGAAGGAGTTGTCATCTCTTCCTCGGCGGAAGGCAGCGGAAGGGCGGCGGAAGGTCGTCGGAAGTAGAAGATGTCCCCCCAAGAGATGAAAACAATTTTGGGTTCAAGGTCTCCGACACCGCCCACATGGGAGGTCCGAGGGGCCGACAGGAACGGGAGGGGCCCAGATTTCCAGGTGCCGTCGAGGCATCATCGGGGGCGCCAGAGAGGGACTACAGGGCGGCAGTCGTCCGGGATTGCGTTTCCCATAGCTTAAAGTTATGGGAGACGCTATTGTGGCTCATCGAGTGCGGTTTTTGAAGGAAAATTGCGTTTCCCATCACTCGCGAGGTGTAGGGCCTCGTCCAGGGAGGTTCTTTGCTGGCGTTTTCGTGGGCTCCTTGGGGTTTTGCCAGCCTCCGGATGCTCAGCCGCAGCCGCGCCTCGCCAGGAGCGGCCCCCCAGGTGTGCCCGGGTCGTCCCGTGAGAGGCCGCCGGGGACCGGGTGTGGCGTCCTGAAAACACCAGGCGCCCGACAGGGGGGGTCAGGACTGTGACTTGTTCTTCTTCTTCTTCTTCTTCTTCTTATTCTTCTTCCTATTTCTCTTCTTCTTCTTCGTCATATTCTTCTTATGTTTCGTCTTTTTCTTCTTCATCTTCCTCTTCTCCTTCTTAGTATTTGTTTTCCGATATTTACATTCTGATTATTTTCTTATTCGTATTATTCGCCCTCTTCGTCATAACACTGATGGTTACCATTGTTTCTTGTTATGTTGTATTTGGTATTGTTTTCTTGTTATCATGATTGCTCTTCGCAGTCGTATGTGTACTCGCATTCGTATTCGCATTCCTATTCGTATCATATGTATATTGTCTATACGTACTATCAGTAGTTGTGATGTCTATGATCATGAGATCATGAGTATGATCATTCTTTTCGTATAATTCATATCATTATTATCACTCTTATCCTTATTATTGACATTACTACTATTATTATTATCATCATTTTTGTTATTATTTTGCTTCTTTGTTCAACACTCTCCAAGGCCCCCGCTCGTCCGCGCCCCATGCTTTTGGCCCCAGTGCGCGCCACCCCCTCTTCCTGGCCCCCCTGGGTCCGAGCAGATGGGTTGGAGGATCGCGCTGCATCGTCGATGCATCGGCGATGCGGCCCAATGTGGAGCTCGATTTTCTCCGCGCTGGCGTCGTCGATGCATCGCCGATGTCGCCGATGCATCGGCGATGTATCGCCGATGTATCGCCGATGTGTCGGCGAGGTTGTCTTGAAAAATGAAACCAGGATCGAGGACCGAGTATAGGATCGATGACCGAGGCGAGGATCGAGGACCGAGGTTCCAGGTTCGAATGCCTGCACTCCGATTCAGACTGATTGCGTCATGCCGTAACTCGGGTAGCTGAGGGAAACTGAGGGTAACTAGGTGTAACTAGGTGTAACTAGGTGTAACTAGGTGTAACTGGGTGTAACTAGGTGTAACTAGGTGTAACTAGGTGTAACTAGGTGTAACTGGGTGTAACTAGGTGCAACTAGGTGTAACTGGGTGTAACTAGGTGTAACTAGGTGTAACTAGGTGTAACTAGGTGTAACTGGGTGTAACTAGGTGTAGCCGGAAGCGCTCTCATGGCGTTTGCTGCGACGCTCGTTGCCGGGACACTGCTCAGCGCGACATTTCGTGTCAATCTTTGTCACGGCTGGGCGCTTGATTACAAATATTGCGGGGAAAGGCTGCGCTCGTGATCTCTGAATTTGCGTGATTCGCCGGAAAATTGACGAAGATAAGAGTTGCGAAATCACAAAATAATTGCGGGATCTAGGACTCAGGATCTCAAGCGCAGCGTGGAGGGGGAGGGTAAGGAGTCTGAGGAGGAGGAGGAGGACGGCAAAGGAGCACGAGGCCTTCCATGACAGATTGCCAGGCGTGGCGCATGGCAGAGGCGGCGGCCGGGGTACAACGAAGAAGCGATGGCTCATGTTCTGCCCGCGCGCGTGCTCCGGAAGCGCTGCAGGCACGCCGATGCACCCAGGCTCGGACCTCGGGGCCCCCGCCGACACCATGTCGGACACGAGCAAACCCGATGGTCAGCCCTTCTTTCTCTGCTTCCTCCTCGTCCTTCTCATTCTCGCCGTCGTCTTCCTCGTCGCCCCCCGTCCCCTCGTCGTCATCCCCTGCGTCCTCGGTGATCCTCCCTCTTCTCCTTCTTCCCTTGCTCCACCGGGTCCGCCTCCGCACCGACAGGGCTACTGCATTCGCGGTTGGCCCGCGCTGCCTGTCCAACGCGGCATGGTCCACCGGCCATTCCAGAAACGATAGTTAGACGTGGCAGGAGTTGTGAGATCACCAGCCGCGTTCGGGGTACGACAGAGTCACATGTTTATGTTGTGCCCGCGCGCACGTGCCCAGGGCGTCGATGGCATGCCATTGTATCCAACCTCGGAGCCCTGGTGGAACTCCGCTGGTTCAAGGAACCCTTAGGAAGGAATCCTTGGTAAGGACTCCAGTCTAAGGAATTCTTGGTAGGGAGTCCTTGGTAACAGGGTTCCTGAGAAAAAGGAATCCTTAGTAAGGAATCCCCAGTAACGAACCCTTGGTAGGGAATCCTGAGTAAGGAATCCGTAGTAACAGTAAGGAATCCTCAATCAGACATCATTCGCATGGATTAAAGAACCCTGACACGGGAATGCTTAGTAAGGAACCTATTAGCACGGATCCCCGAATAAGGGATCAGTGTTTTTTTTGCTTGTTTTCAAAAATATTTCGCAATGAGTTCATCGTGAGGGCCAGTCAGAAAAATTATCCGTCAGGGAGAATCCAGAAAACACAAATCGTTGATGTGGACTACTTAGTGAGGCAACCTCCGCCATGAAGTTTTCGTACGGAACCGTTACCAGTAAGTACTCTCTAAGAGATCCTCCTGAAAAAAAGGGGGCTTTAGAAAAAAAAGGAATCCTCAGTGAGGGTCCTCCTTACTGAGAAGTCCATAATGAGGTCTCCTTCCTGCAGAATCCTTCGTAAGGCTTCCATCGTAAGGATTTCTTGTCAAAAAGGTTCCTGACCAAGGAATCCTCCTGATGGATTTCTGGTTGAGAGGTCCTGGCTAAGGAGTCCGAATTAATGATTCCTTATTCAGGATTCCTAATACAAGATTCCTCATGCAGGATTATTTTTGTCACGGGTCTTTGGCACGGATTCCTTATTGAATATTCTTCGTTGAGGATTCCTCACGGAGGATTGTCAATGGTTTCTGGCGAAGGAGTCCCTCCTATTGAGGGTTTCTGGTTGCGTGTTTCTTACGAGGGATTTCTTACAAAGGGTTCCTTACGAATGATTTTTCATGCAGAAAACTGATTCCTCGCCCGAGATGTCTTGCCCAGGATTCCGTGCCAAGGGTTCGTCGTTTAGGATTATTTCGTAAGGAATCTTTGTCCAGGAGTCCTTACCATGGAATCCTGAATGCGAACTCATTACCAAGGGCTCCTTTCCAAGGATCCGTTACTAAGGTTTTTTGTTTTTTTCATAAAGGGTTACTTATCGAGGTCTCCTCACCCAGGCATTACGAATGATCTGTTACCCAGGATCCGCTGCTAAGGATTCCTTACTAAGGGTTCCTTACACAGGCTTCCTTAGTATGTGCCGTAGTGCGGATTCCTGACAAAGGGGTCCACATTAATGGCTTCCCTTTGAGGAATTGCATTCCGTGCTCCTGACGAAGGGTTCCTGACACATCGTTCCCCAGTACGGAGTCCCGACCAAGGGCCCCTTAGTAGAAGGAATATTTACCAGGGGGTCCTTACTGAGGACTCCTTACTGAAAGGGTTCCGTACGGAGGATTTGTTTGTAAGGATTTTATGGTAGCGATTCATTACGACGATTTATTTGCTAAGGTTGGCTTGTGAATGATTCTTCGCTAGCGTTGTTCCCCTGTCTGTATTCTTAAGGGTTCCTTAGTACGGTGTCTTCATTATGGATTCATTACGAAGGATTCCTTATTGCGGGTCCCTTTTTGCAGGGATCCTTACATATGGGTTCAGTAATACGGATTCCTTCGCACGGGTCTTGACTAATTGCGATTTTTTTTGTACGGGGGATTATTTAGTAAGTGTTTCAGATTCAAGATTCATGACTAAGGTTCCGTACGAATGGTTCCCCAGAAAGGATCTTTTTCGCAGGACCCCCAAGGATTCTTGGCCAAGGATTTCTTAGAAAAGGAGTCCTTCTCACGGATTCCGCTCGCAGGATTCATTCGTTTTTTCTCTCCGGATTCCTTACCGAGGACCCTTTATCGTGGAGTCCGTACTTAGGATTCCTTGTTCAGTGTTCTTGGTGGGGAACCATTATTATGGAAACGTCCGGATGGCTAAAACCCTTTCGGTTCAAATCGCCGTGGGTCCCTACTGTATGTGTTCCCTTGCTGTTGTGGTTGTTGTTGATGGTGGTGATGAGGATGCATATGTTGATGGTATTGTTAATAGTAATTGTGGTGGTTGTGATGGTGATGGTGATGGTGATGATTGTGTTGGTAATGGTGGTGGTGGTGGTGGCGGTGGTAATGCTGTTGCTGCTGCTGAGGAGTACGATGACGACGATGATGGTGATGATGTCGTTTACGTTGTTCATGGGTATGATGGGTTTTGTAGGCTTGATGGGGAAAGGAGGGCCCCTCAGGGAAAGCGCGGCTCACATGATGATGAAGATGAGGAGGACGGGGTCCTGCTGACGGAGCAGAAGGAGAAGGAGGATTACACATTCGATGAGGATCAAGAGGTGGAGAAGGAGGAGGAGGAGGAGGAGGAGGGATGATGAATTTGGAGGAGGAGGAAGAGGAGGGGCAGGAGGAGGAGGAGGAGGAGCATCAGGAGCAGGCGGAGGAGGAGGAGGAGAAGCAGGAGGAGGAGGAGGAGGAGCAGGAGGAGGAGGAGCAGGGGGAGCGGGAGCAGGTGCAGCGGGAGGCGCATGGAGGAGGAGCGCGGCGATGGCGCCCCAGGATGCTACCTCTGCGTGGACTGCGCAGGGCAGCACCGCGGGCTCGGGGTGCCGAGCGCCCCCCGTGCGTGCTCGGGCCGCCTCTCGGTCGGCCTCGCGGCCGGCCATCACGGGGAGAGGGCGGAGGGGAGAAGGGGCGCAGAGGAGGGCGCCTGCAGCAGCGATCGGCCACGCGCAGGGGGGGGGGGGTTCAAGGAGAGCAGGCAGGGCTTCTTGGGAGCACCCCTGCTGCTCACAGTGCTTCCCCCTCTCCCCCATTCCCCCTACCCCCCTGTGCGCGCCGTCAGAGCTAGGGACCCGGCAGGGGGGGGAGGGAGATCACGGGGGCCGTGGTGGAAAAGAGAGAGAGAGAGAGAGAAAGAGAGAGAGAGAGGGTAAGGGAGAGAGAAAGAGAGAGAGAGAGACAGACAGAGAGAGAGAGAAAGAGAGAGAGAGAGGGTAAGGGAGGGAGAGATGGAGTGAGGGAGGAGGGAAGGGTGGGGGGGGGGTGAGGAGAGCAGGGGGGTGGGGGCGAGCGGGGCAGGGGAGGAGGGAGAACGTGTGTGGGTGGGCGGGGGGGAGGGGTAAGGGGGATCTGTGGGAAGAGGAGTGTTCCTTCTCTTCTTCTTTTTCTTCTTCCTCCTCCTCCGATTCCACGTCTCGCTCTCGGAGCCCATCGTCGTTATCTGGAGCCTCCTGTTCCTCTTCCTCTTCCTCCTCCTCATCCTTCTCCTCGTCGTCCTCCTCCTCCCTCTCTTCGTCCTCCGATTCCACGTCTTGTTTTCGGAGCCTCTCGTCCTCGTCCTCCTCCTCCTCTTGCTCCTTCTCCTTCTCGTTCTCCTCGTCGTCGTCCTCCTCCTCCTCCTCCTTTTCCTCCTCCTCCTCCTCCTCCTCCCCCTCCTCATCCTCTGATTCCACGTCTTGTTCTCGTTGCCCCTCGTCGTTATCTGGAGTCTCCTCCTCCTCCTCCTCGCGGCTTGTCCGAATCCCTGGCCGTAGCGGCGGAGCATCCCGCCCTCGGCTGGCTCGGCCGCCGCTGCGCGTGCCAGGCTTGGATGATTGCAGGGAACGCCGCTGTGAATGAAAAGGTGAGACTTTGCTGCTCTGGAAGTACGCCTACCCGAGAGTGTGCGATTCCGAATCCTCCAATTGGAGCGCAACGCGTTTCTGATGCGGCGTCGGCTTCTACGAGCAGCTCTTGACAGTGTCCGCGCGGGAGCGGGCTCGGCAGGTAAGTTGGAAGGCAAGCGATCTTCTCGAAATCCTGTTCCCCCCCGCCCCATCCAGTGCTTTGAACTTTTCGACCTCCCACGTTTTTGAAGAATGTAGTCGCCGTTGTTCCAGGTTTTTTGGAAGTGCCTCGTTGGCCACTGCTAGCCTCTAGAAGGCTAGTTAGTGTTTCGCCCCTGTGAATTCAAACGGTTCGTTTCACACCCCCGGGACGAACGACAGTATTCACATAAGGGGGAGGTTGGGTCTACAAGAGCCATCGCATGATTCCATGCTCTATGCACGAAGCTGGGCTTGTGGTTTTGCGGGGTCTGCGCCAGTTGTGCCAGCAAGAGATTTTGCAATCTGCGCAAGGAATGCGAATTGCAAGCCGCACCGGCGGGAGCATGTTATTTAATACGAATACGTTTCGGACTTCGGCCGAAAGCGTTGGGTCGAGCTGACTTGGCGGTGTCAGGCTAATTGTCCCCCTTTTCACTTAGTGAACGAACTTGCTCTTGCTCTTCCTCCTCCTCCTCCTCCTCCTCCTCCTGCTCCCCCCCTCTATTCAGGGTGCCCATACTCCTGCTCCCCCTCCTCCTCCTCGTCCTCCTCCTCCTCCTCCACCTCCTCCTGTTCCCCTACTCCCTTCCCCCGTCCTCCTCCACATCCTCTTACTCCAACTCCTCCTCCCCCTCCTCCTACTCTTTTTCCTCCTCCTCCTCCCCCTCCTCCTCATTCTCCTCCTCCTCCCCCTACTCCTTCTCCTCCTTGTCCTCCTTGTCCTCCTCCTCCTCTTCCTTTTCTTCCTCTTGACCCTTCACAGATAGGGGACTTTCTCGGAGTCTGGGGTTCGGGGCCTCCCTTTCGAATTCGGTTTTTCATTCCCCTCTTGACCCTGAACAGATAAAGTGGCATTTTCGGCATCGGGAGTTCGGGGCTTCCCTCTTGAGTTCGGTTTTCCATCTCGTCACTCCCCAAAGCCCTCGAAACGCTCAGGGGGCCCTTTGCTGCTTCCCCTCTCACCTCGCCTGTCCTTTTGCACTCCTGGCCTCCCGTCTCCCTCTCCCCGTGTTCCCCTGCTCCGCGGGTGCGCGGTTGGCGGTACGGTTCGTAGGTCCAGAAGCCTACGGAGCCAGTCGGGTGGGCTGGATGCCCAAGCTCTCGGTGGTTAGGTCGGTCCTACGGCGAGTCGAAGACTTGCCCCGTCAGGTGTTTGTGGTGTTGTCCTCCTCCTCCTCCTCCTTCATCCTCCCCCCCTCCTCCTCGTCCTCCATCCTTCTCTGCCTCCCTCATCCTCTGTCCTCTTCTTCCTCCGTCCTCCGCTTCCCCCTCCTCTTCCTCCATCCAAGCTCTTCCTTCCCCTCGTCCTCGTCTTCCTCCATCCTCGCGTTCCTCCTCTTCTTCCTCGTCCTCCCCCCTCTTTCGGCTCTCTCCATCACCACGCCTCACGGCTGAATACCACTGCTTTGCTCGTTGCATGCATGGTCTTGGAGCGTTTGATCCTCATCCTCTTCTTCCTCCCCTTCGTCCTCCTCCCACTCCCACCCCTCCTCATGGTCGTCCCGCACCGTGCTGCCGCTTTGCGCCCACCCTCGCCCAGGCTTAGTTAGGCACGCCCCGGCCAGCATCATCCTCTCCTCCTCCGCCTCCTCCTCCTTTTCCTCCTCCTCCTCCTCCCCCTCCCCCTCCTCCTTCTCCTCCTCCTCCTCCTCCTCCTCCTCCTCCTCATTGCTGTTCCTCCCCCCCCTCCTGTCGGTGCACTTGAGCTTCGTGCGGAGCACCACCATGGACGTGTGGAGCCCGGAGCAGCTCCGGCGGATGCAGGCCCGACCTTTTCACCGAGCCGTTTGATGGAGAGGGGAACGGAGCGCGCGAGAGGAGAGGGGGGTGGAGGAGGAGGAGGCGGAGGAGGCGGGGAAGGATGAGGAGGAGGAGGCGGAGGAGGAGGAGGCGGAGGAGGAGGAGGAGGGGAAGGAGGAGGAGGAGGAGGAATAGGAGGAGCACAGCGACAGACATCGTCTCTTACAGCCGTTAGCGGCAGGAGGAGGAGGAGGAGGAAGAGGAGGAGAAGGAGGAGAAGAGGGAGGAGAAGGAGCAGGAGGATTCTGGTGGAATTCGATTGGCCTGACAGTAAATACACTGAAGCTGCGAACAATGGCGGCGAATGAAATTCTCCTCTGCCCTCCAGACCACCATACCGTCGTGAACGATCAGTATCAAAGGCACCAATTATAGGATAGAGGACGTCATCTACCACAACCTGGAGACCATGAAGCGGAAATTCGCGATAATTCATGGCATGGCATCCAATGGTGATATTGGCACTTCTACACTTCGGGCACGCTCCCTCCCCAGAGGTACTACATTTTCCTGTGCGTGTGCACGCCCCGTACTGCCCATCCTCATCCTCGGACGTTCAGCGCCCGCTGCAAAAGCATCAAGCGTCTGGAAAATTCCCCAGGACCCCAGGTCGTAATGTGAATGCCCAGGAATGGCTTGCATTTTTGCGTTTACACCGCCGAATACACCCACATCATACTTAGTATGATGGTTGGCTGATCATACGCCACAGGCTTGACGACACGGGCTGCGTTACTACTACTACTACTACTACTACTACTACTACTACTACTACTACTACTACTACTACTACTACTACTACTATTACTACTACTACTACTGTTACTACGACTACTACTACTACTACTACTACTACTACTACTACTACTACTACTACTACTACTACTACTACTACGACTCACTGCTTACCACTACCCGCCCGCCAATTTACACGACCGCATCGTGCATTGCTGGCACCACCACCTACTTTCAACATTGGTCACTATAACTTCTTCGATTGGCTTGAGCATCTGGCTACCAATCCGGCGCCTTTCACACGCTGCTATACTCACCGTGCGTGACCACGTACTACACCGAGAAACCAGCGGGTAACAACAGCAGCTCGCCGAGGCAGGCACCTTGTTACGCGACCTGAGCTACCAGTGGAAGTGGATAGAATTGGTAGCTCAAGTCACACACAGACCTGAGGGAAGTACCTGGATCGGCGACATTAAGTCTGCGCCGCGTCACTACTGCGAAGACCTTCTCGACAAGCGCGCGTCGGCATCTACGCAGCCATAAGCGGGGACATTGCCGGAGAAGTTACCATAGATGACCGCGCGGAGGGACCGCACAATAGTTAAGATATGCAAGTACCACGTTGGGATGGATGCTGGACGGGGCCCTGCAAGGATATGATCGCTGAATCACATCCATGTGAATGTGCGCTGCGGTTCTTCTTACACATCGGGGGGCCCTACGCTGACGAACCCATTACTCTGGATACATCCACGAGCACCACTACCATCTGGAGATCTCAAGCAAACTATCGTTGCGAATTTTCACGGACAGCAGTTCGATCTTTAGCCAGAAGAATACACCCATATCAAGGTGTATTACATGAGCAACGAGATCAGCGAGCTAACAAACGATGTGCAGCTACATGACCAGTTTATTGTAACAGGGGGCGCCAAGTACTACATCGTTCTGCTGGACCAAGAAGTAAACCGAGCAATGTGGATTTCCACAGCACCATTGGCTTACCCACCCGGACGTGCCTCCACAACAAGCGCGGGCCTACGCACATGCTATCAGGCCAAATCAAGCGCGCCTGTGGGGAACCTATTCACGAAGACAGCTAGCCATACAATAAGGGATCAACCAGGTACCCCACTACATTTTATCATGTACACTGTAGCGCCTTCAACTGCAGCGCGGGCTCGGCTACAAGAAACCCGCGCAAGAAACCCAGCCTTGAAGACCCGCGCGCGAAGTGCACCTTATGGGGAACCTGGGGCACCCTGAACGCAGCAGCTTCATCAACGGCCGCGGGAAGCCACCGCGCAGCGCGCGGAGCGGAGAAAACCGGCGCATCTTGATTCAAAGTGCATGGTTTCAGGGTGAGGCCCCGTCAACTAGAACCGCGCAGAAGCTGCACAGGTACTGCGCGTGCTTACCAGTTGCGCGAAGACCCGCGCAGCGCCCGAGACGTCGCCCCACGCTGCCCCGAAAAAGCGGAGGACGTGGAGGGCGGGGGCAGGCGGACCGCTCGAGACAGCCCCGCAACCTGGGCGCGCACGGGCCCGCGCGGAGTGCTTTTCGGGGCGTTGGAGCCTTGGGCTCGCGGCGAGCTCCTCGACGCCGATGCCGACGCCGAGGCCGGCGACGGCGACGACGCCCGCGACGACGACGACGACGCCGACAGTGACGACGGCGCCCAATGCTCCCTGGCCGCCCCCCCCTCGGGGGTGCCCCGCCATTATCGTCGTCGTCCTCGTCGGCGTCGTCATCATCATCGTCAGTTATCATCATCAGCATTATCATCATCACCATTGTCATCGCCATCATATCATAACTTGAGTAGTGGCCCTGCGCGTGACCCTGAATGACATTGAGTAGTGCGGAGGAGGAGGGGGGGGGGGGGGGGAAGGAGGAGATGGGTGTTCGTGCGTGCTCGGCGTGGTCGGAGTAATGACAACAATCCCATCCTTCGGACATGGGGAATATCCGTAGTCAGCGAGTGATTTCGGGTCAGATCGAAGTAGGAGACAAGACAACGGTGCCCGCGCAAGCCGCCTACGTTATCAGAGGCGTTCGGGTCGGCAAGTGAAATGGTAGAAAGAGGGTCACAAAATGATGTTGGACAGAGAATCAGGGGCAATTGCGTAGTGACGTGGAACGCGAGGCTTCATTCATGAAGACGGCTACTCACAAGCATAATGGGGCGCTTCAGTTCACGATCGAGGCCCCTAAAGGCAGAGCGGATCAGCCAGCGCAGTAGGCAAACTTGGATAATACCGAAGGGTTTTTTTGAGGCAGAGGTTCATTTGGGAATTCTTGTTTCCCTTCATTTTCTAAAAAGTAAACTTCAACATGCCGGATGCTTATTCGCTCCCGTAATCCTCAACCAGCAAGCCGCAAACAAATGCGACGCATGTAGAGGAAGCGAAAATCGACGCGGGGGCGCCGAAGCAGTTGCGGGTGAATCTCGCGCAGCGAAAGACGAGTTTGCGATTTGAAAGGTCGATGGGGGTGCGAACAGAGAATACGTGGCCACCGTCCAGACAGACGTAGAGATGCGCGGCGTCAACCATCTGCAATCGCGAGACTGGTGCCTGTGCAAGAGGGAAAGTTGAACAGAGGGCCCGCAAACATAGGGGGGAAATTGGCCCTGCTAAAGTCTTGTGTTATGTCAGCAGATTGCGGCTGACATGCAAATGCCCGCGGCGTAACAGAAGGGGCGAGGCAAGCGGGCAAGGCGACCCCGTGGTGGTAATGCGCTGCCGAACAGCGCAACGTATGTGGATCCGGGCGTTAATCAATGCGAGCGCCCGTACTTCGTCTAACGCGCGTGGCGGAGGACGCGATATCATTCGTCGGGCATCGATGCCTGATGCTTGCAAGCGACGGGGAAAGATCATTTCCCCGAAAGAGGCTGCGAGTTTATCGTCAGCTTCGCCAGTGGGATTGGACATAAGTCCAGTCGGAGACTCTGTGGCCGACGGTTGCGCGGCGAGGGGTGCCGGGGCAATTTCAAGTCAAGTGGGGGTGCTTAAGAGCGCAGCGAATTCGAACTATTGTAGTGAACTCGCAGACTGCCGGCATGTCATGCCGTGGATGGCGCCACGCGCCTCGTCGCTGTAAACAAGTCCATCGCGGGCAACGATGGGCAGCTCGTAAGACATATCGAGGCCATCTTTTTCGCAAGCCGTTACCCGATCTTTTTGAATGCGTATTGCATCTCAAAGTCGGCGCTTAGGGCCGATGCAAGTTGGGGCGCGCATGACACGCGGACATGTTTTTGCGTGCGATGAGTGTGAATCTGGCTGCAAGCACGGGGCGATCCCATCGCCGGGGCGCCGACAGAAAACGGAAGCGAAGAGGAAGCGTGGCGTTTCGAGGGGATGAATTCGATGGGGGCTGCCGTGGCAGCCGGGCCCCAACGTCCTGAGTAACGAGGCACGCCCGAGAGCGATCGTCAACATGCCATCGGATCTAGCAGGAGCCAGCGGAGCGCGCGCGATAACGCTTCTGGTCAGGAGCACATGTGAGAAACGGGACGAGCGCGTCAAAATGGAGTCCGCCCCCGGGCGTCGCGGTTGCCAGGCCGTCGCGCGAGGCAATGCTGGTCGTGGGCCGCGCGGCGCTAAGTGCAGATCGCGGGTCGCTGTGTGGTTCGCATGCCCGGGGGATCACCGAGTGGAGGCAAGATCTGATTCAGCTCTGCTCAGGTTCGACGCGCGCGCCAAGGGGGAGATCGACGGGCGCGAAGAGGGGGGGGCTCGGGCCCGAAGAACGACGAGCGCGACGAGCGAGGCAGCAAACGCGCGGGCCTAATGCGGCACGTGGGCCCACTCGAGCCGGGGGGCGTCCGTCAGACACGAGAGTCGCGAGTTGCATGGATAAGCGAGCGGTGAACGTCGCCGAAGCAGGCGACGATTGGAGGTTCAACGGCAGCAGTCGACAGCGCAATCGCTGGTCGAGTGGGATTCGAAGTCTTCGACGGCAGCGACGTACCCAGCCTAATTGCGAGACCGAAGAGGGCGACCGACGCGTTGCCCAAAGCAGAACGGCATGCGCAAGGAAGCAACCGCTCGGATGACCAGGAGGGCGAAACGATGGAGGAGACCGTTCGAAGTCTTATAGAATAGGCCATCGGCATTGGCGAAATTTCAGCAAGTAGCATGGGCCACCAACAAATGTGGCATTCCAATACCTACATGAGTAATAAAAAGCGTCATCAAGTCAAGCTACGTGGCAAACAT